ATGTCAGTACAATAAAAATAAATAGTTATCTTATTATTATCCTGTTGTTCACCAAACTAGCCCACCAGTCTCTGCAGACCCCACATTCACTCTTTAGATAAACTTCTTTATGTAAAAATTGTGATTTTTACAGTAAAATAAACATAAAAACAGAAAGGCTATACAATTTTTTAATAGTTACCTGGTAGCAGGGAGGGTGCTGACTCGGGTGAAAAACACTGAAGGTTCCACATCAACATGGACACCCAAAGACAACTCCCTGTAGTAGCCTTCAACTTTGCCTGCTCCCCCCGAGTACTTGAAGTTCAGCACCGCCTCCAAAGTCTGCAAAAGGACAGACATGGGGAAAATATGTAGATCAAAACAAATTAAAACAAGCAGGCCCAGGTGTTGCAACGTTACTCCAAAACAGATGATTCATGAACAACATGTCACATCCTAAAACTGAGAGGAGAAGGTGTTGAGTGTGGGTGAAAAAGCGTGGATTTTCTGGCTGTGTGCCACTATAATGGGGGGAGGGTGGTGGAGATTGGACACACAGAATTACTCAAAGGTACTCTGTGCTGGGTAGAGAGGAAGGGCCACAGGATAAGCAGCCAAGTGGGCGAAGCGTGGGGAAATTAAAAGTGGCAGTTTATGGTGAGCGAGCACTAGCTGACTCAGGCAATGGGGCTGAAACAGGGTAAAAGGATCATCCAAGGTCCTGCTTTTTTTTCTTATGAAGCATATATCATCTCTCTGAAAATTGCTGATGGAGGAACTGGCTGCGCCTTTCTAGAGAAAAAAAAAAATCACTGATTCCTTCATTATTTTCGCTCTTTGTCCACTTTTGTGGAGGCTGAGAGCCAAAATGGAATGATTTGGAGCCTGCTGGCTAGACAGCTGACCTATTACAACCTAATGAACAAAGCAGAGCCCACTGAGCAATGAGAGATAACAACATTAGAGAGAATTATTATTATTGTACATTCGACAGCTTAATTCCAAACTTACACTTATCTGGTACGGTTCTGGCTTTATTTCACATCTTGGTATATTTTCATGTTCTACAAACCTACACTCTTCCTTATACATTATAATGCCCTCCATGGCACCATGGATTCCCATGAAAGCTATTCATCTTCCCCTTAGGATGAAACCATTAGATGCTTAAAAGAGTAAAGTAAAAGTAAAAACTCTTTTGGGTGCAGATGTGCAGCTCAGTCTTGTCCCGTTATGTGGCCTGTGACAGAAGCTCTCAGCCACCGATGATGCCGTCTTGAGATGCCTTCCCTTGCAACTGAACCCAAAATGACAACTTGACCCTTGTAACCTTAGTGACTCACATGATGGCAGGGTGGGGGGCAGTGTTTCACAAAGGACTTACACCTTGGCTCATGTGACCCTTAAAGACTGACATTATTATTATTATTATTATTATTATAATAATAGGGTAGATCAATGGCTCTCAGGACCGCCACCAAGGGGAGAACCCCACTGTGGATTAAACATATGGGACTCCATCAGTTTTTAGGATTGAAGACGTCTCTTGGATGTGAGGTGAAACATATTCACCGTCCAGCTGCCTTCATTTCAAGCACATAAGACCACCAATTGGTTGTCAAATTACACAGACACACTAACTCTGTTCTTTTAACTGGAAAAATTCAAAATCTAAAAAGAAGAAACTTGACTTAAGTAGATCCAGACTAGACACAAGTACATTTATCTGTAAACACGGTAGGACACAGATAAGAAAAGCACTCAGCTAAATGAAATAAACCTGAAACTAGCTTGTTACCACTTTTCTCGCTGATTCTTTCTTGCTTTATACTAAGGTGTGCCTTAGGATAAAGCTCTGTAACCTTACATGTTCAACAAAACATTAACAATGTCAAACACCCCCAAATTATCCAGATTCACAGAAGTTAGTAAACCTAAATATCGTGAAGCTGACACGAGTTGATTTTCATCCAGCTTAACCAGACATTTCAAAATGAGTAGATATTTCTAAGCGAATTCATCTATTTTGTCTTATTTAATTGTAACATATCTTCCCACACTGTAACAGTGTAATCTAGATTACATTACTACAACCAGATGATTTCATTGACCAACATGAAGGTCAATGAAACAAGACCTAAGCAACTCAACAAACAAACATATGTTTCAGCTTTGCTAATGCAAACCCAGAACTTTCCAGACATGCTCACTTAGGACACTAACTAAAACTGACAAACAGGTGCTGGTTGGTCTTTTATTCAGCTTCCTCTTGCATTTTAAAAAAAATCATATTTAGTACAGTCTGACTGCATGTGTAACGCCACAATCAGCCAGAGAGAGCTCTAATGACGCTGTCTTATGCTTTACATACACACATGCTGAAGCAGACGTAAAAATTGACATGATTACAGTAATAAGTGGTGTTTGCTTAATCTGCCAAGTAGTTCAGGTTAATTAAAAATGAGTTAAATTACCTGAAAAAGTAAGAAAATGTTAAATGGAGTGGTGGATAATATAAGGGGGCAAATTGCAATGATGTGTTGTTCATTAGTGAACTCATTCAAATGGAATCACAGCTACTGCATTAAGATGTGTGCATTAACTTTGAGATGTTTGATCTTAAAGCAAATGCACAACTTTGTTATTTTTAAGCAGCAGTCATCTGACTCCTATTTTCAAAACTGTCTGTCACAATATCCTCTTCACAGTAATGAACATTACATCTTTATACATAAAAAATAACTAGTTTATGGGGGGACTGACAGAATAAGACATGGACAGTAACAGTATAGTGTGAAGTCTTTGGACTTATAAAAACACATAGTACAGTGGTAAATGGCCTGTATTTGTATAGCGCTTTACTAAACCAGTCATCCACCCATTCACACACACATTCACACAAGCTACATTGTAGCCACAGCTGCCCTGGGGCGCACTGACAGTGGCTGTATCCTGGAATGTTGGTCATACATCACATCCCCCAATGAGTCTCAAAAACAGTGATGGGTTGACAAAATGTAACAAAGGTCAGTAACTTTTAAATTACAAATAAATAACTACACTAGACAAGGTACGGAAACAGT